TTTCCTCCTCTTCCTCCTCCTTCTTTCTCCTTTTGTTTCTCTGTGGCCTGTAATTGCTTGGAAGCTTTCCAGGCCCTGCCCCCTTTTGATTGTATGGGCTTCACCTGAATTTATATTATACAAATTTAATACCGTTTGTTTCTATCAATATTAAGAATTGATCAATATTCTATATTATGTCCTTAATCAATATAATGCTTTTACTTCTCTCCCTCATTTTTCTTTCATATAACCTCCCATGTTGAGATCATGTAAAATTTAATGTGTTCAACAGTGCTGTGCCCTGGCCGGTTTGGCTCAGCGGTTAGAGCGTCAGCCTGTGGTCCGGAGAGACCGGGGTTCGGTTCCCGCTAAGGGCACGTACCTTTGTTGCAGTTTGTCCCCGGCCCTGGTTGGGTCATGTGGGTGGCAGCCACTAGATGTGTCCCTTTCACGTCGATGTTTCTCTCTCTCTCTCCTTCCCACTCTACCTGAACAAAAAAATGGAAAAATGTCCTCGAGTGAAGATAAAAAAAAAATAGTGCTGTAATTTTGAAAACATCAGTTATTTAAATTTAAACATAAATATTACTGATTTCTTTGTTTACCACCACCTCTTTTATCCCATATAGTCCTTTTAAATTTGTTTTTAATTTTCTTGAAGTTCACCTTCTAGTAATTCTTTTTTTCAGAGAATTTTTGGGTAGTACATTTTCTGAGATTTTCATTTCTGCATCTTTTCCCCCCTGTTCACCTGAATCTTGTTTGGATCTAGAACACTATGGGCATAATCATTCCCCTGAGAACTCGGAAAACACTGTTCCTTTGTCTTTTTCATTCATTTCTGCCCATAGGAAGTCTAATTTTGCTCACATGCCCACATTTGTATAGGTCATCGGCTCTTCTTTGGTCTTGGCATCCTCACATTTTCCTTTGATTTTTCTGTGGATAGTTGGCTTTGCATTTATTTCACAAAATAACAAGAAATGAGGGACTGGACGGGTCGGCACCCGCTTGCCTCACCGATTCCTGACCCACCTCCCCTGCAGCCTAACCCTGGGCACAGCGACTTCCCGGCTTCCTGGCTTCACCATGCTCCTCCACACTTCGGGTTCCGAGTGCTCTGCCCTCTTCCCTGGCTCAGAGGGCCTCACACCAGGTGGAGACATCGCGCTCTGCCACTAATCACGTGTTTCTCTTCTTTCCTGGGCTCCAACAGGACCCTGTTCAGCCTCTGGAACAACACGTGCTAACCCTGCTTGCCAGCTTCCTGCGTAAGGACCACACCTCGTCTTTGTTTCCACGGCTGTGCCACAGCTGGCAGTGGGCCACGCTTGCTGGGCATCACAAGTTCTGGACAGGCTGCACCTGTGTTACATGCAAGCACACCTGGAAAACCAGCTGGCTGCGCCTCCGCTTCCAGAGAAGGACACTGAGAGGAAGCCAGGGACCGGCCAGAGTCATGCCCAGAGGAAGTGGCAGGCAGACCAGGGAGGGCCTGGCCCCCTGGTGAGAGCCCATGCTCTTCTCCAGGCTGAGTGGAGGTCCTGTCCAGGAGGGAGCGCGCTGGTTGTGGCGGTGAGTGCAGTGAATCAAGTGTCCGTGGGTCCGGATGAAGGCGCCTGGCGAGGTTTCCTGGTTCTGACACCTCTTATTTTCCTTCTGAGACAGGCCACTGCCTGTGGACATCGGTCCCCTTTATGCCCGGCCTGAATGAACCCGGACCAAGGCCCGATGGGGGAGGAGAGCTGTGGATGCAACTTGACTTCAGAAGGTGGGCGGGGCTGTGGGGGCGGGGCGGGGCGGGGCGTTACGTGCCTCAGCAGCTGGAGGCCCTTCTGGATGATGGGTCTGGGTGATGGTCCACACAAACTCTGTCCTTGGAGTGAGTCCGCTGGCGTCAGGGAGCACAGCCCTCCCTGCTGGCTGCAAACGCCTTGTCACAACACGCGTGGGGCGATGCTTGGACATGGTTTGAAGTCCTCTTTGTTCAGTCAGTAGTTGTGCTGGGCTCACGATAAGTTGCCAACATAAGAACTACCTCCTGACTTAAACTCGGGAAAGGATAAAAAAGAAAAACCACATTGTAAGGGTTCCTCATGGGTCCTTTTTTGCTAAGAAAAAGAATGGGCAGCTCTGAGCCACTTTCCTGAAGGGTGTGCTGTCTTACCTGGGGGCGGGGAGGGGAGGGTGTGTGACATCCGCACCTGCCTCAGCAGGGACCTGCTTTCTCCCTGCGGCTGCTGAACACACAGGTTACCTGTCGCTCACCTGAGCAGCCTCGCACTAATGGGAAATGCCTGTTATGTTTCATTAAAAAAAAGTTTCCCTTTTTACTGAGCCTACCCAGTTCAAACTTAAGTAACATTTGTCAGCTCTCTGGCTAATTTTATTTATGAGTAAAGGTTAGATTTTATTATAAATAAAGATGTTATTTACAACAAAAAGTGAGTGAAGACTTGGTTTATTGTTTGATTATTATCAATTTTATGTTACACGTAAGATAAATTTATCGTCATGGAAAATCAAGAGACAAGTCCTAGGTTGAGGGACAATCTACAAATCGCCTGCCTAAGGCCCTTCAACAGGTCAAGGTCACCAAAAACAAGGACAATCTGAGAAACCGTCACAACCAAGAGGAGCCGCAGATTCTCCACGTGAGCCCGTGTCCTGGATGAGGTTCTGGTACAGAGAAGGAATATGAGGGAAACAAAGAAGTCCAAACCAGCAGTTGACACTAATGTAACAGTGCGGGCTCATTAACTGTGAACTAGACACCAAGCCAACGCAAGGTGCTACTTCAGTGCAGGGCTTACGGGAATTCGTGCTACCTCACAACTTTCAGGAAATCTGAAACTTCTAAAATCAAACTTTATTTTCAAAATATGTAAAGACATGGTATACTTCACCTGAAATCTCACTAAGAATGAAAACGTCCACTCTCATTGCAGTCTCAGTATCTGAATTTTGGAACGGGGTACAAGTTGACCCCGACAAAAGCAAACTGTCCTTCATTGGTCACAGTGGCTGAGTGCTGAACACGCCAGTGTTCCAAGAGGGTTATGTGCATTACCTCGTTGAATGCTGCCAACGACCCTGTAGGGTAGGGACAAACATCAGCCCATTTTACAAATGAGGAAACTGAGGCACGGCAAGCTTAAATTGTTTGTTCTGCTCACAAGGAAACGTGGCCGAAGAGCCACATATGCTGCCATCATTCTATACTGCTTAGCGGGGAACAGAAATGAAGAGAAAACCTAAATCTGTTGAAATTCCAGGACCATGAACATTCAGACCCAAAGTACACTGAGCGGGGAGGCTGGACTATTGGTACCCGAGTGGCTGCCCGCACTCTGCACAGACCGCCTGGGAGAGGCGCCACTCTTTGTCATCAGTGATAATGACGCGTGCAAAACTCCTATTCTCTGAAGGTGGTTCATTCATCTGACACACGGAGATGAGACAAGTGGCCCAGAAGGGAAAGAATGAGCCAGCAGGGTGGCCCAGAGCACGCCCAGACTTTAGCTCCAGGTCACAGGCATCAGCCCCTCTGCTGGGGTCCTCGTCTCCACTCAGCTCAGTGTCCCCCATCTAAGCCGCCCCGCAGCACCTTCCGTCTCGTGGGGAAGGAGCCGCACAGCCCCTCCAGCTGACTCTCCCCTGTGTGCTCTCATGGGTGCCGGAGAAATTTTGGCGCGATCTCCAATATGTGTGTTTTGACCTCAGTTCACAAGCTTGAACACCTGCAGGAATGTGGGTTCACTCTCTCTCCAAAGGCAGCCCAGCTTTGGCTCCCTAACAAATCCAGGACGAGCTGTAGTCCTGCCCCAAGACCAGGGCTCCTGGGCCTCCTCACCTGGGGAGTCACGCCAGAGCCTAGGAGAGGTGTGCCTGCTGGCCTTTCCCTCAGCCCCACATCTGTCGGTCCACACGTCCTGCACCTGCTCCTCCAAACCGCACCCCAGACCCACCAGCCTCTCAACTCTCACTGGAACCGGACCGGACCCCGAGCAGCACTGCGGCCGAAGAGTGATGCTGACATGTCATGATCCACGTGGACATCACAACTCTGATGTTTTCATCACCATCTGCTTAGCTTCTTTGTCTACCTCTCAACTATTTTTAAACTTGGATGGTGAAAAGGATGTCATTTATTTACTTATGCAAACTCCATATATTCTAGACTAGAATATATCCTAGAATATATTAGAATTCTATTATATGCATGCTTTTAACACACATGGAAGAGTATACGCAATGTTGATATAATTTTTATGTATTGATTTTAAGTTACATATTAACCATAAATAACTGTATGTTGCAATTGTAGCTACAGAGATTAATATATACTTAATTTGTTGATCTTGCCAGATGATTCCTCCCCAGCTCGCCTTCTTCTCATCCGGGTATGAGTCCTAGAATCAGCAAACCCGCAGCAGCACCCGGATTCTGCTGCCTACTGCCGCCTGCCGCCTGCCGCCTGCCTCACCTGTGCAGGGATGGCTCGTCCTCTGGTGTTGGAGCATCATCTGCCCCTTCCACTCTGGGCAGGCTGTCCTGCCACCGAGACAGACTGCGTGTGATTTGCATATGTTCTGGGGACCCAGAGGCTCTGGTTTATTCCAGCCCTTGGCCTCTGCTAGCAGGCCCCCACACAGTTTGAGGCCGTCGAAATGGCCCTTACTAAAGACATTGCACTCACTGTGACTTCTGTGGCTGCTTCCAAACACATCCAGAAGGTCTGCCCACCAGAACCTCATCCCCAGGAGCTGGTCCCATGGAGAAGGGCTGTCCAAAGGAGCATGACAGCTTCCAGTAGGACTGCCATGGAAGGAAGCCTGGGCTTGGGACATGAGCCGAGGAGAGCCCCTGCGAAGGGCCCCAGCCCTCTCGCCCCCCAGGCGTGTCAGCCTCTCTACCCTGAGGAGAGAGCATGGGCTCCAGCGTACCTCTCTGTGCTCTCACACAGGAGAACTTGTGTGGAGATCAAACATAACCAGAGCCCAGAACTCGTGCTGGGAAGACATGTCATGATGTGGGATGGGGAGGGACCCCCACGGTTCTGTGGAGGCTACAGAAAACGAAACGACTACTGAGGATCCAGAGGCATCCCTTCCGTTCACAGGTGTCTCTGCCATTCACAGAGCAGATGTCTTAATTAAAATGCTGCCAAAGGAAACAAATCAATGAACAGATAGCTTACATGATGGTTTATTCTATCTTACACACAGAAAATTGCTTGTGAGCATCGCATTGCTGCTTTAGGTTATCAGTTAACAAAGGCTGCTAATGAAGTACATTGTTATCAAGTCAGATGAAAGATGCCCTGGGACTCCCGGCAAATTATCATAACACAGCTCTTCGTTTTGTAAGATAGCTCTCTCTCGTCACGCACAAGGAGAGCGACCTAATCCAAGGAGAAGCCGTCTGGATAAGAATCGGAATTGCTGTTGAACGGAAAGGCAAAGGCGACTCCAAATGCAGTCCCAGAAATACACAGTCAATATTACCGGGCAGAAAAATGATAACCGGAGCTGTACCACAGAACCTTAGGTTGATGAGAATAGTAAAAAGATGTTTCCTAAGCCTCTCCGTAATAAGGTATGCACATTATAGCCACGTAATAATTGTAATATGTAACAATAACCATGAAATAATTCTATAAGCATAACAATGATCGCTTACATTTGCACAGTGTTCTCCAAGGCACAGCCTCTGCTTTTTCACGTCATCCTTCGTGGGCCCGTCATTTTAAGAGCTGCAGGCTCAGCCCATGGCCGTCAGACCCTCCTCTTGCTGCAGCCCAGCCTGCCTTCTCTTCTTGGGGAGATCAGTGTTTCATCTGTCGGACTAGAGCCTGCCCCTGGTCTCCGTGTATCAGGGCCCCTGAATGTGCACGAGGGATTCCTCTGGTGGCCGAGAGGGTGAGGCCAGCAGTTCTGCAGAAGGCTGCTTACCTGCCGATCAGACGGTGGTGCCGAAGAGCCTGTGCCTTGAGTTTGGCTCTCTCCCCACGAGCCCTTGCTGAGGGCAGGCTCCCTCGGCACGGAGGCGATGCCATCGCAGAAGCCGGGACAGCGCTCACGTGGGAACCAGGACAGACAGTGAGGGCTGAGTCTTCCATCCTTTCTCACGCCGGTCAAGTGCCCACACTCCCTCTATGTAGCAAAGTGCTTGCAGAAGAGAAGTGATATTTTCCTTCAGGACGGAGGCACTGTGGATTCTGTTCATTCCGTTATTTTCCCTGGATATTGTGTTCCGTGGGAAGTTCCATCACCGGCTTTGGACATTCAAGTTCAAGACGTCCCCCAAACTGCAGTGGCCAGTCGTCTAGACTGCCGAACCCCTCCTGACGTGGCCGCTCACTCAGACTTCAATCACTTGCGAGGCTCTGGAAAGGAAGAGAACCATCTGGAAGACTGACTGGCAGTGACCATGCTCTAACTAGTCATGGCAGTGCTATGTGACACAGTCACACAGGTGTGCGAGAGTTCATCAGCAAATCCTAGCAAGGGGGACAGCTCCTCGTCAACATAGGAAGGGACCTGAAGACCAGTGGCTTCTAGGCAAGGAGGAGTTTGTAGGCAAACCTGAAGGTGGCTTTCTGCCTGCCAGACAAGACACACCTCATCCACTTTGACGACAAGGGAAGAAGTCATTCCCCGAGGTCAACTGCATATCTAAGGGGAACGTGCCACTCTGTGCAGGTGACGAGTTTGCGCAGATCTGGGCAGGTGCGGAGGGACAAGCAGACAGACCGATGGGGATGTACCTGGAAGGGGTCCCTTCAAGTCTGCACTACAACTGTCACAGGTGAGGCCTCGCTGTACTCGGTGCCTCAGCTGTGACGGGAGGAAATGGCAGTGTAGATATATATTAAAATCAGGAACAGAGAAGAAAAGATGAGGTCACCAGACCAGATCCCAGCACAGTAGAGCTTGGGCTGAAATTAGGGCAGAGGCCCTACTGTAGCCCCTCTGGGCTGAGGGCCTCACCAACAGCTCCATGTTGGGACTGAACTCACACCAACACTTGACTGTAGCTTCACATAAACATTATCTGTGATTATCTCAGGAGGACCTGTTTATGCCTATGTTACTTTCGTGTTTATGCCACGCCAATGTTTGTTTTCAGTCTTAATATCTTGTTTAACTAGCATCCCACCTGCGAGAAGGGGCAACAGCAGCAAAGGACTGGGGCGGAGTGAAGCATCAGTGGACACGTCAAGCCCACGGCCATAAAGGGCGGCGCGTGCTTACCCACCCAGGCGTGAAGACCAAGGGCACAGGCTGAGGCTGGGTTACAGAGCTGAATGGCAGCAGAGCCCACATGGAAAACGAGCAGGTTGGAGGCCAGCAAGAACAGTAAGGACGAGAAGCAGAGAAAGAAGTTCTAAGAGCCTAAATGTTGCCAGGTGTTATGCTTCTTCTTGGAAGTATGATGGAGCCAGAAGAACATAGAGCTCAAGTTCAAGTTGGTCTAGAAGTCCAGGCTCAACAGAAAGTTCATGCTTCCTACTGTCTTTAACAAGTGCTGAATTCAAAGGGCCCTTCAGGTGTTATTAAAGAGAGGGTCTACAGTGGCTGTACCTAGCTAGCACTTGCATTTGAACTTCTGATTCCCAAAAAAGATAGGCAGACCAGGAGAGCAGGGTCCTTCCATCGCCGACGGCCCAGAGCCGGGGAAAAGAAACTTGTGAGCTACCTCATGGAGGAAGTTGTTCTCTGACAGGGTAGCAAGGCATGGGGACAGCCCAGCCAGAGGTAGAGGGTACCTGAGGCCCCCAGGGCAAGGGCATGTCCTAGCTCCTGAATAACCCCAGGTACCAGTGGAGAGCAATACCAAGTCTAGAAATTGTCCAAGTACATAAGGAGATTTAGAACATGATAAAGGTGGCGAATAAAGCACTGGGGAATGTGTATGTCACCAGCCTCTAGAGAGCCAGGCACCACCTGCAAGAAAAAATAAGCTAGACAGGAGCTGGGGGAGCATGCTGGCTTGACCAGCAGCCGAATTAGGCTGCAGACCTCGACTGGGTACCAAGAGAAGGACAGTCTTTTGGAGACTGTAAAATTATGGTGGCTGCCTAAACCCACATCTTCACCACATCCTACAAAAATTATACAGACCAACAAGGAGAGGATAAAAACAAAAACCAATGACAGCAAAAACACAAAGCAAAACTAACAACAAAGGGGCCTACACATCCTGGTTTGCTCAAGACAGTTCCAGGGTATACCTTCTGAGGTAATGCTGCTAAAGGTCTTTTGACTAAATCCAACACACAGATCTGATTTTGAAAACTCAGTAAAATAAAAATTAAGGGATACTTCCTTAATGTGATCAAATACATATAGTTCAGCCCTAAAGCCAGCTTCTTACTCAATGGAAAGCACTAGTGTATTTCCCACCAAGAGCTGGCACAAAACAAGTCTGCACATTATTTCCACTATTATTTAGCATTGGTGGTCTTAGCCTATGCAATCAGAGAGGGAAAAAACAACCAGAAGCATAAGAATTGGAAAGAAGATTTATAGTTTGGGAGATGACAGGATATCATCGAATTTAGAACATGATAAAGTGGCAAATAAAAGACCAAGAACAGTAGCAGCGTTTGATGAACCAACTGCTATAACGTTAACATACAAACACAATCCAAAGCAATCAATGACCAAGCAGGAGATGGACTAGGAGACTCCCTTTACAAAAACAACAAAATCATGAACTATTTAGGAATAAACTTAACAGGAAATGTGAAAAACCCATGAAAGTAAAATCTGAAAATTCTTGAGGCACACAAAAACAGACTTGTGTAAATTTTCTGTGAACAACTGCTTAACATTGTAAAATGTCAATCATCTTCAATTTAACACATGAATGTAAAGCAATCCCCCCAAATTCTAAGATATCTGTACCCCTAGCTAGAGTCTTAAGTTTACTCTCAACTTCACTTGAAACAACAAATACGCAAGGATAGCTGGGACAGAGGAGCAGGAGTGTGTCCCTGGAACAGAAGCGCAAGGGGGCAGCCCAGCCAGAGGTAGGGGTACCTGAGCCCCCAGGGCAAGGGCATGTCCTAACCCCAGGTACCAGTGGAGAGCAATACCAAGTCTAGAAATTGTCCAAGTACGTAAGGAGATTTAGAACATGATAGAGGTGGCGAATAAAACACTGGGGAAAGAGGGTGGTTTTAAAAAATGATATTGAAATAACTGGGTTGCCATTTGGGAAAAAGATAAAATTTAAATCTCTGTTGCATACTGCACATCATGATAAATGACAAGTGGCCAAATAAAAATGCTAATCCATACAAGAACTGGGAAAAATATATTCATGTACATATATGTATATAAACCTCTTCTTTGATTCTATAATATATTGTATATATGTAAAAAATCGTAAGTATCTTTTGTAAAATGAACATAGAAAGGATAAAGGAGAAACTATTGAAAACAGCTCAAACCATGTGGGAGTGGACAGGTATGGGAGCACGATTGCTCTGAGTTTATGTTTTACATATTCAAAAAATAAAATTAAACTAAAAGGATTGAGAAAATGCAGCAGACAGACAAATGTTTCTAACTGTGTCAAATTGATAGTATAACCACAAAGAGAAAATAAATTCAATTGAACACAGTACTCTGCACACACAGAAGGCTACATTCTAAGAGCAAAAGGCACTGTAAAGAAATCTTCAAGTTACTAAGCAAGTTTGTAATTCTGGAAGGTGTGTGTGTGTTATATGACATAGCAAACTAATAAAAGCCTTCATGTGGTTGAGAAACAGGGTTTTCACTTTGGAGGAGGCCAAATAAAAATATAAAATAAGAGAAGCTTAAGAAGAACCTTGAGGGACTGAGTTTGTGGTTTTAGTATACATTCCCTGACTGTCCATTGAGAAGGTGTAGAGGTGATAGTGCCTCAGTATTTATGAGCACACATTGTGCCCAGATCTGGGTTTCTAGAAAAAATTCACATCATCAAAAGGAAGTAAGAAGGGAGGGGGGGAGGGAGGGAGGGGGCTGGTGGTAGGGGAGAAAGGGAGGGAGGGAGGGAGGGGAGGAGGGGGCTGGTAGTAGGGGAGAGAGGGAGGGAGGGAGGGGAGGAGGGGGCTGGTAGTAGGGGAGGGAGGGAGGGAGGGAGGGGAGGAGGGGGCTGGTAGTAGGGGAGGGAGGGAGGAGGGAGGGGGAGGAGGGGCTGGTAGTAGGGGAGAGAGGGAGGGAGGGAGGGGAGGAGGGGGCTGGTAGTAGGGGAGGGAGGGGAGGAGGGGGCAGGTAGTAGGGGAGAGAGGGAGGGAGGGAGGGGAGGAGGGGGCCGGTAGTAGGGGAGGGAGGGAGGGAGGGGAGGAGGAGCTGGTAGTAGGGGAGGGAGGGAGGGAGGGGAGGAGGAGCTGGTAGTAGGGGAGGGAGGGAGGGAAGGAGGGTGGAAGGAAGGAGGGGAGGAGGGGGCCGGTAGTAGGGGAGGGAGGAGTGCAGGGATCCTAGGGTAAATGGGTGATTCCAGGACTGAGTAGGGACAGTACAGGGTGAACCTGGATGCTGTGTCCTGTCAAAGTCTAGGAAATGCTCAATGACGAGTGAGTTCCCGTCGAAAGCCCCCAAGAAGTGACTTGTACTGGACACACTTCAGAGCATTAGAACAGAAACAAGATTCATGATGGAGATGAATGAAAATGCACTGAAGTTCATAGGATTACTATTCAACAGGTAAATGAAGGAGAAGGGGGAGCCCTGTTTTCTGGAGGAAAGCCAGCGGCACGTGGGGAGGGGATGCGGGAGTGAGAAACAGCGCGTGTCACTGCTGCAGCAGCTGCTTCCCACACCGCAAGGAGATTAGGTCCTCAGGTGCTCACATGGGCTCAAAGGACGACCCTCAGGCTGTTTCCTGGTTTCAAAGGGGACATTTCTTCTCAGCGACCTGGGACCTGGCGGTGGCTTCCTGGACCGAGCCAGCAAACACAGCATCACCGCCATGGCAGGCCGGACGCAGCACAGGAAAGGGTACAATGTCCCCTCTGTGGCAATCCCGACAAAATTCTGACAAATCCAGAAAACGGGACATCGTACAAGACACCAGCTTAGGTACTGCAAAGTTGGTGACGCCCTCGGGCAGTGACTTCCAGCCGTGCCCCAGAAGCCTGAAACCACTGAAACCCGACTTCAGTCCGGGCGCTGACCTCTTTCCCTAGACTGTCAAATAAAAACAACAGCCAACACAACAATAGCTGTCTCCTGTGAGTGAATCAAAATTACACCTATTTTTTGTCAAATCGGCAAAAACAATCATCTATTTTTGATGTGCCCCAGAACTTCAATTAGTTTATGCCCCCAGATGAAAAGGGTTGAAAACCGGGGCCACAGGGAAAAAAGAGGGGCGGTCCAACGATGAAAGGGAATAATAAGAGACCGAATCAAACACAGTGATCCCGCCTTGGAAAAACAGAGCAATAGAACATACTTTTCAAACGAGCAGAGGAATTTGGATATGGACCACGTAACAGATGATACTGAGTCGGTGCTCGTTTTCTTAAGCATGGTCGTTGCATGACTGGGAGATGACATGGTAATATGTTCAGTGCCGCAGTGCCATGACATGTTTACTAGTTGTCAGGCGGGTCAGAAGAAGGGATGCACACAGAGATGCAGCAGCTGGGCACAGGCTTACTGGTGAGTCTAGGTGAAGAGGGTGCATTTGTTTTTATGACATTGTTCTTTCCACTTTTCTGTATGAAGAAGAGTGAGAGCCTGTGGGCAGGGCATTATTTAGGAAGCTAGGCCCAGGGAGGGCGAGTGTGAACTGGGAGTCAAGGTGCCTGCCTTGCTGGGAGCAGGATCCTTCGGGGTGCGGGGGCGGGGGGGGGGCTGTGCCGGCTTCTGCAGGCCCCGCCCCGCTCACTCAGGTTTGTCCACTCTGAGACCCCAAGCCGAGGTGGAAAGCAGACACTTAGCCCACCCAACCGCTTGATGACGCAAAGAGAAGTTTGGGAATTTTTTCATCAGGTGGAGGATATCGGCTAAGTGTTTGGCCTCTGTCAAGAGACTGTCCTGGTAAATGAAAAAAAAATTAACTGTCTTGCTATTAAAACCCAATTTTCTCAGCTCTAATCAGGCAAATGCCCCCAGAGTTTCATTTTACATATTGCCAAAGTTCCACCTTCTAGGATTTTCTGCAAATGTCCCAAAAAGAGGCTGGTTCCTGGTCTCCCAGCCACCCCGACGCCAGGACTTGTGACCCTCGGCCAGCAGTCGCCTCCTGGCCTGCGTGGGGCGTGCAGGGGAGCCGCCGCCCTGGCCGGACCGGGCTCCTGCCTCCTTCAGTAAGTGGCGACCGGACATCAACTCACCTTCCGGAGCTGGACCTGCGGAACGGAAGAAGGGGATAAGATCACGTGTCGTCCTTCTGACGGATGAGAGAGGTGACCTATGAACCCACTCCCAGAGGGCAGAAGAGCATGTGCAGGTCTGCTGTGGGGAGCGGCTCGCTTGTCCTCTGCTTTTCCTTCCTGCCTCAGCCCGACTCCGTCTGTTAGTTCAGACACTTGAATGTCTCCCTTCTGCAAACATCCTTGCATTTGCAGAGGGGCTCCGATGGCATTCCTGCCCAGAGCGGTTCCCTGCACCTGGTGAGGCTGCATCCTGGGGGACAGTGCCGCCAGCCGTGAGGCCCAGCCACCCGGCCCTCCCCTGCCCTCCATCTCTTCGTCCCCTTCCTCCCCTCACCTGCCTTTCTCCGGTTCCCTTCACATCCCTTTCCCTGAACCTCACTTCCACAGTGTTTACTGTTGACCGATGTTACAGCAACCTGGCCTGGACTGTGGGAATCGTCTCCTATGGCTCTGACGTGTCTCACACACACACGCACACAACGTCAGAATAATCCAGACCTCACACACCACACACACACACACACGACGTCAGAATAATCCAGAACTCACACATACCACACACACACAAACACGATGTCAGAATAATTCAGAATTCACACACACACGACATCAGAATAATCCAGAAATCTCTCTCACACACACACACGACGTCAGAATAATCCAGAACTCACACACACCACACACACACACACAACGTCAGAATAATCCAGAACTCACACACACCACACACACACACACAACGTCAGAATAATCCAGAACTCGCACACACACCACACACACACACACACGACGTCAGAATAATCCAGAACTCGCACCACACACACACACACACACGACGTCAGAATAATCCGACCTATCGCACACACACCACACAACACACACACACGACTCAGAATAATCCAGAACAGCACACCACCAACACCACCACACACCGAAATCAGAATAATCCAGAACTCACACACACCACACACACACACAACATCAGAATAATCCAGAACTCGCACACCACACACACACACACATGACGTCAGAAGAATCCAGAACTCACACACCACACACACACACACACACACACGACGTCAGAATAATCCAGAACTCGCACACACACCACACACACACACACACGACGTCAGAATAATCCAGAACTCGCACACCACACACACACACACACACGACGTCAGAATAATCCAGAACTCGCACACACACCACACACACACACACACACACACGACGTCAGAATAATCCAGAACTCACACACCACACACACACACACGACGTCAGAATAATCCAGAACACACACACCACACACACACACACACGAAATCAGAATAATCCAGAACTCACACACACCACACACACACACGACGTCAGAATAATCCAGAACTCACACACCACACACACACACACACGAAATCAGAATAATCCAGAACTCACACACACCACACACACACACGACGTCAGAATAATCCAGAACTCACACACACGACGTCAGAATAATCCAGAACTCACACACCACACACACACACACACGAAATCAGAATAATCCAGAACTCGCACACACCACACACACACACACACACGACGTCAGAATAATCCAGAACTCACACACACACGCACACTCACGACGTCAGAAGAATCCAGAACTCGCACACCACACACACACACACGATGTCAGAATAATCCAGAACTCACACACACACACACACACACGACGTCAGAATAATCCAGAACTCGCACACACACACACACACACGACGTCAGAATAATCCAGAACTCGCACACACACATACCACTAACACACACACATGATGTCAGAATAATCCAGAACTCACACACGCACACTCACACACGCACACAGGGCTAGGTGTGCCTCTAACACGATCCTACGCAGCAGCGTGAAAGCACAGGGACCCCGTGTGTTGGGCTGGGATGCTAACAGCGTCTTCACAAACACACACGTGTTAGTGGTCACTGTGTCATGACGGCCTCTCCGGCCCTCGTCCCGCGGCTGCACCCGTGTGCACGGACCCGCGCCAGGGTTCAGTCGGGCTTTGTGAAATCTTACATTTGTGTGAATTCTAGCACTAAGATGTCCCCGACACAGTCTGCACAGGCCCCGGAGACTCCCGGGGGCACTGGAGCTCCCAAAGCCAAGTGCTTCCCCGTGCGGGCCGTCCGGCGGCGGGAGCACCGCTCAGCCCTGCGCCGTGTGAGGTCACCGCTGGGATCTCCGCCCAGCACGCCACCGCCCTGACCGTCCCGACCGTCCTGACCGAGGGCAGAGCTGGCCGGAGTCTGCAGCCACAGCCGGGGTGCTCAGGGCCCAGGCCTCTGGGCTGTGCCGCCCCTCCTCTCATGACACCTGCCCACAGCCCAAGCAGCAGAGCGGGGGGAGGGGCCGGGGTGCAGTCTAGTCCCCGCGGAAGCATTCAGGGGGCAGGAGAGGTTAGGCTGGCGGGCAGGGAGCAGAACGCACGAGACAGGAGGGACCCGGTACTGCAGCAGCTACCTTACCTTGGTGGTCTCCTCTGGAGGGCGACAGTATCTAGACAGAGAGAGCAGGGCATTAGGAAGGGGGCAGGGTGGTCAGTGTGCAGCTCAGTGCCAGGTGGGGGCAGGCCAGCTGGACTGGGGAGGGGCTGAGAGGTCCCCTGCGCTGGGGCTGCTGCGGGGGGGGGGGGGGTCTTGGGCTGAGTGCTCTGCCCCAGCCATGGGCACTGTGGGGGCTTCTGTCCCCAGCTCCTGTCACTGAGAACTCACAGCTCAGCAGGTGAGACTGAGCCGTCCCTGGGGCACCCCCACCCGAGGGTCCTCCCTCTTCTCCACTCGCAGGTCCTGGGAGTGTGTCCGCAGGCGCCCACTCTGTGGTGACAGGCTGTTCGCCCTCCCCCGTTCCTTGTTCGCAGGGATACAAAACCAACGGTAAACAGGCTCCTACCCCTCGTGAAGCCCCTGGTGCCATTAGACAGCCAGCATCTCAGGAAGCCCGAGTCTGCCGCTCCGCCCCGGCCGACCCCTCCCCACGCCTTCTGCATTTCTCCACGCACATCATCAGACTGTCCCAGAGGCCGCAGGCGCCTTCCTCCTCCCCCCAGGAAAGCCTCGCGGGGAACCGCATCGTCATGCCAGTGTGCCTCCTAGGGGGTGGGTTCAGGCCCCCCTTGAGAAAGAGGGTGTGAATCACTGTTGCATTTTGCCATCAAAACTCACACACTGACAGGTTCCGGTCTGCGCACGCCCCACCCCCGCAGGTGCCGCGGGACACAGAACCACGCGGGTTCGCGGAGCCCGACCCCACACGTGGACCATGAGGAACTCCCCACTTAGGAAAACAGTGCAGTGGGCCCCGTCATCAGTGCCGCCAGCACCTCCCCCCCCTCCCAGGCCGGGACCAGGGCAGCACCTCCGGGGACTTGCTCTCCCGCCTTCCCCAGGAAGCCAGGTTCCTGGCCACATCACAGGCTCTGGAATGGAAGAGCGCAGAGGGGGACAGAAGGACAGAGACTCGGGGTGTGGCCGGGGGTTACTGCGGGTTTTTTTTGGCCGTGGTTTTTATTCTTTCTCTACCAGGGTTCTGGACTGGTGCTGGGTCCAGAGCTAGGTGGCTCCCGGGAACATGCCCCGTCAGGGACAGAGCCCAGGCTGAGCTGCACCACGCGCTTACCGTTGGCTCCTGCGTTTGTGTTTCTGAAGTCCGAGGAGTCGTGATCAAACAAGTGCTTCTTGATCATGCAGATCTTCAGGGCCAGGGAGCCAGCCGATATGACGACCCCGAGCGCCGTCCCGATGATGGCGTATTTGACATCTCCTGGGCAGGAGGAATTGAACGATGACGTTAGTGGATCACCACCCCGCAAAGGTCCTCCACGGCTCCTTTTGCATTCTGGGTGAAGTCCAGGGTCATGCCTGAGGACCTGAACACCCTACATCTGACCCGCGGAGGCCAACCTGATTTTCCACCCTCCGGGGGGCACCGTGCATCCAGGCTCCTTTCCCTGTACCCCATCTTCTCTTCCCGGAACCCCTGGTCTCCTCGGCTGTGAAAACCACCTCCACGTGAACAGTGGTCCCTTTCTCTGGGGTCTCAGAGCCCTTCCTTCCTTAGACTTTCATTCATTCTTTATTGAGTATGTGTTCCTGTGACGAGGACCGAAGGCAAAGAATGAGACCTGGCTCTGGGGGCCTGCAGGCAGCTGGGCACAGAGGGCTCACTCTAATGCCAGGTAACCACGGGCTGCGCTCCATGGGGTTGGCAGCTTTCTCGGGGAGGTGGTGGTGCTGCCCTTCCTTATTCTGTGATAACTGGTAAGAAACCAACACCAGCCTGCCCCTGCCTACCCAGCCAGGCCTGGGGCGTGCTTGCTCTGGCCCCTCGCCTCCCAGCAGAGGCAGCTGGGCGGACCTACCGATTTCGGCCTCGGCAGACTTGCCCGTTGCCAATACTTGAGCTCCTCCAACATCTGCAGGGAGAGAAAACCCAGAGCCTGGTTAAAGCAGAACTAGGCCGTGAACAGGCCGAGCAGGGCTGGAGGTCCGAACCCTGACTCCGGCAGCCCCCCCCACACATCTGGGAGCCAGCCGTAGGTACCGCTGCTGCTTGGCTGCCACCCTGGGGAGCGCGGAGGTGGGCTCCTGGCTGCCAGTGTCCTGGTGCCTTGCCGGAGTGTTAGAGCCTCCACAAAGCCCAGGCCAGGAGCGGGGTTCCGTGGGGTTCAGTGAGACCAGCCCTTTGACACGGTCTCCCAGACCCTCACTCTGGCTCGTGCCTGCTGTGCCAGCCTCCCCATCACTCTCACGAACCCCCTCATGCCAGTCAGTCTGAATGCTTCCAGTCCCTCACGGGCCCAGGATCTGCTGCCCCTTGGCCCTCTGCCAGCCCACCTTCTCCCTCTCCTTCGGCTGGTCTTGGGTCCACGTCACTGCTTCCCACACCTGGCTTGGCCACCCCCTGCATGCCCCACAGCAGCTGGGTCACCCACCACAACTGACCACATCGTTTATTTAACAGCTGACGCAGCACTGCCGTGCGCCAGAGACCCTCTGAGAGCTTCTCCGCACCAGCCTAGTCATGGTCTCCTGGCCGGTCTCCCGCTGCGCTCTGCCCGCTGGGTGTTCTACCCACAGAGCAGCGCCTGGCACACAGGAGCTCTTGACGTGGGTTTGCTGAATGAATGAATGAATGCATGAATGAGTATATGAATAAATGAATGAATGAGTGAGTGAGTGAATGAGTATATGAATGAGTGAATGAATGAATGAGTTAGTGAGTGAGTGAATGAATGAGTGAGTGAGTGAGTCAGTGAATGAGTGAGTGAGTGAATGAATGAATGAATGAAACGTTGCAGGGGGTCTCACTCTTCTAGCCAGGGCTTGAACACTTAAGAACACCACGCCTGGGGCGGTGGTGCCCCAGACAGACCCTGGGAGCACGAAGGCAGAGCTGTGGCCTTGGAGAGGAGAGCACACACGGACTGGCCACTGGGAGGCAGATTTCGGTACAGCACTTGCGCTCATACATCTAACACGTGCAGCAACGACTCTGAGGTGCGCTGCTGCCACCACCACTTGATGAATGAGGAGCCAGAGGCACCGAGATCGTGTGCTCTCCGGCAGGGCAGGGGAAGAGCCAGGGCCCGGCCTGAACTGCAGGGAGCCCTGCAGGCACTGTTCCGGGCAGCTAGCTAACAGAATGTCAGCAAAGCCCCAAGGCCAAGGGCTGGTGAGCGCGGTGAGGCCCAACCATGCTTCTCAGGGGCCAGCTCCCTGGCCAGAGGAAGCACCTATGCGTCTCCTAACAGGCAGCAGGGGACTGTCGGATGTTTCCAAGCTCAGTTCCACGAAGCCCATCTCCCCAGCCCTGACCTCCTGGAGACTGAACAGCTAAGGCACTTGGTCACCGAACCGGCAAAGATGGTCCTTCCACGGCCCCCTGGGCTGGCCGTGTTCAGTGTGCCCGGGTGCCGTGTTAGGTTGACACTCCACAGAGGACAAGGTCACTTTACATGCTTAGTGGGGAAGGGATCAGCAAGATGGAGTTTAGGGCTTATCCGGCGATCTCACTGGGTCAGTGAAGCAAGCGGGGTTTTCTGAAGTCAAAGCGCACAGCCTGTTCTTCCAAGTCCACGTGCAGTTTCAGCGGCTGCTCGTTTCGCGGGGAACGCACACCCCACGTGGGGCCTGTCCACTCACACGCGCCACGGACAGCCCGGCACAACGTGACCCTAGGCTGTTGGCTGTCTGAAGCCTCCACTGAGCTCCCCGTTTCCTTACATGGATTCTTTACCTTGATCTCGCCGCGCTGGCCAGGTTGACACCATCTCAGGGACACACACGACAAGGCTTGCATTTGGCACAGACAGAGTGGGGTCACTAAACGGAGAGGCTGCCTCCAGAGCTGACTCGCAGCCCAGTGCCCGCAGGTCACAGCGAGGGGCTGCCCGCTCGCCTGGCCCTTCCCACGCCGGCCTGGCCTGGGCTGCTCCAGCACGCAGGGCGCAGGGCATCAGCTCGGGCCCCGCCTCGCTCACGCACACAGGTCTTTCCTGGCTCCCGCCCTGCCCTCCACGTGGAGGACGCAGAGCTCAGAGTGAAACTTGAACAGAGGAAGAAGAAAGGACGCAGGTCAGAATGAGGGAGACAAAAAGAGCCAGAGAGCCGGAGAGTTCAGAGCGACACGCAGAAGGACACGCACGGGAGAAAGGTGGACGCACAGGGACAGGCCAGAGGCTGGGCCAGACAGACAGCCTGCCAGCAGGAGCCAAGAAGGGACGAGGAGGAGGAATGTCCAGTGTCAGCAAGGGCCTTGTGCCGAGCATCCTTCTCCACATCGCCCCCTGATAAGAGTCCTGAACTCTCAGCTCCTCATCCTCTTTGGCAGGTTGGGCCCCTACTCCTTGCCCTGCCCCCACAGGACCAGGGCCCTTAGGGGCCACCCTCCACACTCCATCCTGTGCCCATCCCAAGCCCTGAGGCTGGCCCTAGTTCCTGGGCCCAAACAGGCCCCCAGGCGTCATGCCTCAGGCCCGGGGTCAGGGGCTCAGTACCCACTCGGCCTGGAGCCGCTGCTGGGAGCTGCAGGCAAATAAGCAGGCACATCCTCCCCTAGGAATTCCTGCTAGCCCGCCCATGGCCACTCGGGGGCAGCCTTTCCCCTCCTGGGGCGGGATATCCCTCCGCCCACATTCCCCTGCACTCTGCTCTCTGCCCTGGCTGGGCTCCAGTGAGCCCTGGGGAGTCTCCAGTGAGCCCTGGGTGAGCATTCGCCCCAGCACGGGGTCCTGTGGACCCCCCTCTGCCTCCTGCCAGGGTCATGAGCCCAGGGAGGCCCTCCTGGGCCTTAGACCCCCTGCAAGCCCCAAGCGCTGGTTTTTCCCTGGCTCTGCAGAGGAGCTGCAGGGTGGGTGGCCAGAGGGCTCTGCTCCCATGTTCGATCTGAGAGGCCCAGGACGGAGGCAGAGCCTCTGCACTCGGAATTCTCCGGGTTCTCTGCCCACAGAGGAGGGAGCCTAGCGCTGGGGGACAGGCTGGCGCTCAAGCGGAGCAGGGACACGGCCTCGGGTAGACTCACACGGGGCTGGGCTGCTGGGCTCCTTGCCCTGCGCGCACTGAGCCGGAGCAGAGGGAGGAGCACAGGCCCCGAGCAGGCAGACAGCTGGGGCTGCCCGACGACGTGGGCCTGCTGAGGCGCGAGGGTGGCCTCCCCCACACAGGTCTGTCGGCGCCCAGGTCGGCCCTGAACCCAGGAGCTGTTACCAAGCTCACAGCTGAGGCTGGTTCCTCTTTGGAAGGGGCATAGAGGCACGTTGGGCTCCGAGTCTGGGGTCTCTGCTTCCTCCTCGTGCCCATTTCGATGTGCTGCTGCTGGATGACCTGACACTCTACCCCTGCTGCCACGACACCTGGTCTCCAGCCCCTGTGTGCAGCCCAGCCCTGCGGAGCACAGCCTGCTCTCTGCAAGTGCTTCCGGCAGGAAGGGGCCCTAGAGAGGAAGCGGCTCTAGGCCTGCAGCTGCCCGGGCCCAGCTCCTGGGGGAGAGCGCAGCCAGCAGGGGAAGGCAGCAGGCCGTCCTGCCCCGGCCCCTCTCAGCTGGAACCCGACCCTCTGGGAACCCATCCCTGCCGTTAGGACCTCCGGGCGGAGCGCATCTGTCGGCCCACCCTCAGCGGGGCTGGCACTGCTCGGCACCTTATTTGGGCAGAATCCGCTGCGTGGTCCCAGAGTGGGGCAGTGGGCGTGCACGGCCCTCGACGTTCTATATGCATCTGAACTAAAAATAGAGCACGTCTTGCCTGAAGTGTTTGTCAGCTGATGCCTGGCCATTTCCATCTTGGAACTCGAATGTTGCAGAATGGCTTCTAACTTTAGATCTCACGAATTCCAACATTCTCAGGGAGGCAAGGGTTTCGCATGTCTGAAAGGGCACCAGCACTTCCATAGTCCACACATAGCGATGCACCTGCACATGCTCCGGACCGCCCTGTGCCAGGGGCGCCGAGAGCAACCAGCCGCTGTGCCCACGAAGGAGCCCGCACAAGGAAGGGGAGACGGGCTCACACCGTGGGAAAGATCAGCTTGCTGTCGGGGATGCGCGGCACGTCCTGGAAAGCTCGCTCTCACGGCCAAGGAGTCTGAAGGGCTGTGTGGTAACACTTGTGCGCTGGCCCACCTCCCCTGACTTGACCCCTCAGGTGCCAGAAGGCCGGCTGGGAGCCAGGGCCTGCAGCACAGCCTCAGACCGCCCGGCCAGGGTCGCCAGCTGAGTGTCGTGTGCCCTGTGCCTCGCGCCCACCGGCCTCGCGCCCACCTGCCTCCCGCCCACCTGCCTCGTGCCCACCAGCCTCGCGCCCACCTGCCTCGCGCCCACCTGCCTCCTGCCCACCTGCCTCCCGCCCACCTGCCTCCCGCCCACCTGCCTCGCGCCCACCTGCCTCGCACCCACCGGCCTTGCGCCCACCTGCCTCCCGCCCACCTGCCTCGCACCCACCGGCCTCGCGCCCACCTGCCTCCCGCCCACCTGCCTCGCACCCACCTGCCTCGCACCCACCTGCCTCGCGCCCACCTGCCTCGCACCCACCTGCCTCCCGCCCACCGGCCTCGCGCCCACCGGCCTCGCGCCCACCTGCCTCGCGCCCACCTGCCTCCTGCCCACCTGCCTCGCACCCACCTGCCTCCCGCCCACCTGCCTCCCGCCCACCGGCCTCGCACCCAGTGCCTAGCACCCATCTGCCTCGCGCCCACTGGCCTTGCGACCACCTGCCTCCCACCCACCTGCCTCGTGCCCACCTGCCTCGTGCCCACTGGCCTTGTGCCCACCTGCCTCGCACCCTGAGCCTCGTGGCCCGTTCCTTGCAGGTGCTGCTCTTCCCTGAATGCCGCCTTGTCCCCTGCAAAGCTCTCACTTCTCCTTGAAGACTTATCACAGAGCCACCTCCTTTAAAAGTCCCCATGCTCTCTGTGGGTA